GGGCCTATTCATTGTGGACCTGCAAAAGGACCGGGAGAGGTGCTCCCGGCGTTAGCACTCCGACACCCAAGTCAGAACACCTCAAAGGCTCTTTATTCTAAAATATATTCAGTAAAAGAAAGTTAAAATGTTTATGTGAGAGTTGCCTACGCCTTGAGGGTTGAGTACCCTTTATTTATAGAGGAAATCCTCCGGATGTCATTAGTCTCATTCAATTCCGTTAATTGGGTGATTTCAAATCCATGATATTTTTCTAAATCTTAGCACTTAAGTTACCAAGATATTTTTGAGTGCCTTAGTGATTAAGTTATGAGGTGGCCCATGCAATTCTCATATCGCCATTTGGTAGTTACTCCAAGCTCACAGCTCGTATGAGTTATTCTGCTCGTCGACGAGATCCTTCTCGTCGAAGTTATTCTGCTCGTCGACGAGATTCTTCTCGTCGAAGGTATTTTGCTCGTCGGAGAGATCCTTCTCGTCGGAGGTATTCTGCTCGTCGGAGAGATCCTGCTCGTCGGCGAAATCCTTCTCGTCGGAGGTATTCTGCTCGTCGGAGAGATCCTGCTCGTCAGATATCTCCTACTCGTCTAAGTTATTCTTCTCGTTGGAGGCATTCTGCTCGCCGACAAGATCCTTCTCGTCGGAGAGATCCTGCTCGTCGGACATCTCCTGCTCGTCGTAGGTATTGTGCTCGTCGGAGAGATCCTGCTCGTCGGATATCTCCTGCTCGTCGGCGAGATCCTGCTCGTCAAAGGTAGGCTGCTCGTCAGATATCTCTTGCTCGTCGGCGATATCCTGCTCGTCGGATATCTCCAGCTCGTCGGAGAGATCCTGCTTGTCGGCAAGATCCTGCTCGTCGACTATCTCCAGCTCGTCTGAGTTATTCTGCTCGTCGGCGAGATCCATCTCGTCGGAGGTATTCTGCTTCTCGGAGAGATCCTGCTCGTCGGACATTTCCAGATCGTCGACGAGATCTTGCTCGTCGGTGAGATCCTGCTCGTCGGATATCTCCAGCTTGTCTGAGTTACTCTGCTCGTTGGCGAGATCATGTTTGTTTGAGTTATTCTGCTCGTCGGCGAGATCATGTTTGTTTGAGTTATTCTGCTCGTCGGCGAGATCCTTCTCATCGGATATCTCATTCTCGTCGAAGAGATCCTGCTCGTCGGCGAGATCCTGCTCGTCAGATATCTCTTGCTCGTCGGCGAGATCCTGGTCGTCGAACATCTCCAGCTCGTCGGCGAGATCCCGCTCGTCGGATATCTCCAGCTCGTCGGCGAGATCTTGCTCGTCGGCGAGATCCTGCTCGTCGGATATGTCCAGCTCATCTGAGTTACTCTGCTCGTCGGCGAGATCCTTCTCGTCAGAGGTATTCTGCTCGTCGGAGAGATCTTGTTCGTTTGAGTTAGTCTGCTCGTCGGCGAGATCCTTCTCATCGGAGAGATCCTACTCGTCGGATATATCTTGCTCGTTGGCGAGATCCTGCTCGTCGGACATCTCCAGCTCGTCGGAGAGATCCTGCTCGTCGGCGAGATCTTGCTCATCGGGCGAGATCCTACTCGTCGGATATCTTCAGTTCGTCTGTACCACGTGGCTTTATTTTCTCTTTTTGTATGGGCCTAATTCAATTGGGCATGGGTCAATTCAATTGGGTCTTGCCTTGTTGGATCGTGCTAAATCTGGCCGGATCACCTTATTATAAATAGGGTATTTTTATGAAATAATAATACACAAATTAAAGTAATCATCTTAAGTATTCTAACATGCTATCAGAGCAGAGCCATACTGTTTTTTTTTTCTGCGTTTCTTTATCTTTTGCTCGGTTCTACCGAGATGAAAAACACTAGATCAATGCTCGTTTTGATAAATCATTGCAATCTTGTATGTGGTGTTTCTTTTTATTCCTCGCACTTCCAACGCAAAAGAAAACACGGTAAATTATTTTTCTTTGCAGTCTTATTTTTGGTGTTCCTCCATCTTTCGTTCGGTTCCACCGAGACGAAAAAGAAAAACATCATAATTAGCTGCATCTATGTTAATTGTTAATTGAGATGATAAAAGGACGTTGACTAAATGTTGACCATAAACAATAAAAGTATATATATAGAGAATAGCATTGGCGACAACTGTAAGAATAGCCATTTTGTATAGATTTATAATTAGATAAGATATATAGCAAACTTAGATCGGTCCTGTTTGTGTCACCTCCCCACCCTTCGCTGTCACATGCTATGTTCTTTTTTCTTCACCTACCATTTACTTACTTTACAATTAAAATCATGTTATCAAATAATTAGGGTAAAAATCTGATTAATTACTTAATTGGAGGAATAATAATTAAACACCGAAAATCATTATCCTATATATATGCTTGTTAATTGTAATTAATGATATTTACTGCAGTAAAACTAAATTTATATTGCCATGCTTCTTGCTATTTAATTTACAGTTGTAATGCAGACAACCCCAATCCTGCCCCATTTTTACAAGTTGCAGCCATCAATTGTCATTTCATCTACAGAGCAAATAATTTTTGAATTATGTGAAAAAATGATTGTAAAGTTCTTGGTTAGGTTCAATATAGTTAAACTCTTAACTAACTTTTTATTAATTCAAGAATTGTCTCAATCTGGTTTCTGGTTTTCGGATATGTTAAGTTGATGCAAACTTATATGATCTGAACTTGGTACCAGACCAAATTCGATAATACTCTAACAACTTGTTGAGTCATCATGATTTACATTTCTCAAAAAAAAAAAAAATAAAACCTGTCGTGTCAGGGGACGAGGACGAGAGATTTTGACTTTTAATACAAGAATGATTTGATTTCGAACAAACTAATTTTTTCAGAGTTTAATTAATGAACAATAAATGTTTGTTTCCATGTTTTAAGGGAAAACAGGTTCTTTAATAAGATAATTAATGGGTGTTTAGGGGGGCCATTATCATATCGGCCCATTTTTAGAAGTGTTCGGCCCAAATCGCCAAACTAACCCACTAATTTTGATTTTAAGAGTTGGAAACTATTTTACTCGAAAATCATAATATAATTAATTGATGTCATGCTGACGCCACAGTGATCGGACAAATCAAAGCCGGTTGTTCCATTGAACTATTTTATTTGTTTACTACTCCATTAACAAGTAGTAAACCAGCACTGAACATTATTGACTATTTGTTGACCATTGCTCTCGTGTCTTTCAATAAAACATAAAATTTGTGTTAATAAAACAATTTACGAGTATTTTTATCGATGCCAATGATAATAATTGAATAATAAAGAAACACAATTAAACTTCACCTACCATTAGCCATTAGAATTTAGACCGGTGGCCCTATGAATCTTGTATTTTGTTGTGCTGTTTTCCTTTTCATATATTCCTCAAACATCACGAGGGTTACCTTGTTGTTAATTAGAATCAAGTTTTTAACACTTAAAGAAAATAATAGTAATATATGAATTCAATACGATTTAATTTGGTAAAATAAAATAAGAAAACAAGAGAATGGAAATGGATAAATAAAATATATATATAGCACATTGAATTGCACAAACAAAAGTACAATTGGCCTACTAATACAGTGCTCCATGTAGCAATTGGTGAAGTAGTAGACTCCAGCTAATCTTTTCAACCCCACCCCCCTAACCAGACACATCACACATGCCCGGTCAATATATGTACCTCACCCAAACGCTCCTTAACATCAATATTTTCTTTTTTCTTTTTTTCCTCCTTTTAATTTATCACCTACGCCTGGTGCAATGGACTACGGCAGGATCGGAGTACCCGACCCTGGTGGTGGTGGTGGCTCCTCAACCCGTAGCCTTACCGCCGATCCGACCCGCACTCCCCCTAAATCCAAACTCAAGCTTCTCCTCCTCCTCGTCGCTGCAACACTCGTAGTGGCTTCCGCCGTCTCAGCCGCGCTCGTCGTCTTCGTCGTCCGGAACAGAGTCGATGGAGAGAGACTGCTTCACCGGCGACCGTCTCAGGCCATGTCTAGAGCATGCAGCCGGACTCGGTACCCGACTCTCTGTGTCAACTCGCTCCTCGACTTCCCCGGCGCCGCCGCCGCCTCCGACAAGGACCTCGTCCACATTTCCGTCAACATGACTCTGCATAAATTCGGCCGCGCTCTGTATGTAGCCGCCGAGATTGGCAACCTTAATATGGATCCTCACGTCAGGTGATCTCTCGGAATTCAAATTCAATTTTAATTTTACACGCATAAATACCTAATTTACGAAATAATCGTGAAATTAATTCAAAATTGTGCGCTTCTACAATCAGGTCCGCGTACGAGGACTGCTTGGAGCTCCTCGGCGATTCGGTGGATCTCCTCTCACGATCGCTCACCTCCGTCGCTCCAGGCGGCGGCGCCGCCGCCTCGACTCAGGACGTGTTGACCTGGCTCAGCGCCTCGTTGACGAACCAGGACACCTGCACCGAAGGCTTCAACGAATTAAACGGCTACGTGAAGAATCAAATGTCGGACCGGTTGAAGGATTTATCCGAGCTCGTGAGCAATTGCCTCGCGATATACGCCGCCGCCGGAGGCGACGAGGATTTTGCCGGAATTCCGATTCAGAATCGCCGGCGGCGATTACTAAGTAGTGATAAGAAGGAGCACAAGCATTTTCCGGTATGGTTATCCCGGAGAGACAGAAGGCTGCTGGATATTCCGGTGACGGCGATTAACGCCGACGTAATCGTGTCCAAAGACGGCAACGGAACGTGCAAAACGATCGCCGAGGCCATTAAGAAGGTTCCCGATTACGGGAACCGGCGATTCATTATCTACGTGAGGGCAGGAAAGTAAGTTCACATGTTCTGTACTATTAGTCAGTCGGTTACCTTTTTAATTCCTTATTTTTTTCCGTAATTGCTAATGTCTAAAATGCCCCTATCGCAGTTACATGTCAATATGTCACGTCTTATTCTTGAACTTAGTTTAGAAACGATTTTCGTAGAGTGAGACTTGACTATATATAATTCCTCACCTGAACAAGAACAACTCTTCTATTATCTAAACTTCATATTGATTATTTGAAACGAAAATGATTTATTCAACTCTGATTTATCACATATGACTTTTTCATTAGAAGTTCTATTAAAGAAGGTTGTAATATAATGTTATTTCATTCGATATACATAGGTACGAGGAGAGTGTACTGAAGGTGGGAAGGAAGAAGACTAATATAATGTTCATCGGAGACGGCAAGGGCAAGACGGTCATTTCAGGTGGGAAAAGCGTACAAGATAACATGACAACATTCCACACCGCGTCTTTTGGTAAAAATACCTTTTTCCCCCCCTCAACTTTTGCCTTTTTCTCTCTGTTTCTTGTTCACTATTTACCTTTCCCACCCTCGATTTTGTGATAATTATTGATAGTTGTATTAATTAGAGTATAATTATTAATCGTAGCTGAAAGTGAAAAATCAATGGGCGGTTGTGCTTTTCTGCATGTCGTTGAAACATGCACGTGGCTGTCATGCTTGACTTTGTGATTAGATTCTTGTCTTTCCATGCCCATTAGACAAATTCCTGATTGGACTAATTTGCCCCTCGATTTTTTTAAAAATAAATTAGCCACAAACAAAATCCGGATTATAAAATTGTCCAGAACAATTTTCTATACCCGTTGTGCCCTTGAATTTTTTTTACATTTTATTTCTTTAATTTGATTTCAAACTTTTCTTGACGTGGCTTTTCAATTTTCAACTATGTTGGAGCGTCTATCCATGTCTTGATGTCTTTATGTCCCTTTCTAGGAAGAGCTTTTATTGAAGTATAACATTATTAAAGGTTAATTATTTGCTGAGTGGGGGGATACAGCCATATACATATAGGGGTGGGGTGGAGGGG